AGCATGGCTGATCCAATCTTTCCAATCTTCTCTGAGAAGGAACCCCATTAAAGCAATCATTCACAACTTCTGCACATTAAAATAAGCATCAGCCACTGGCCTCGGGAGAACTTTTGAGATGTCCAGTGTTTAAAATGCCTTCACCATGTAGCAGGTTTTTCACCAGCACCACACTCTCCTACTTTGAAACACAATCATTTTTTAAACACACGTTTGTTAGTGGTGATTAGACTTATTTAATATTTTTAAGAGAACTTGTACAACCAAGGCTTCCTTCTCATTTTGAGTGTTCCAGGGATATCTCATCTAAACAAATACTGCATTGGTCAGCTGGTGCTCCATTAACTTCTGTGTCATGAAACCAAAAGCATTTATTTCCCACTGTCTGTGGGTCCCCGGGATGGGCCAGCCTGGGGTGGCTTTCCTCCACTTGTCACATCCTCCTCCAGGAACCCACTGGCAGCCCAGGTATGTGTGCTAACATCCATTGGCCAAAGAAAGTCATGTGGCCAGGATCACAACTGAAGGCTGGAGAAATACACTGTGTCTTTATGAGGAAGGGATACAAGGTTACAGAGCCAGGGGTAGGGATACAGAGAGATGAATTGAATAGGGACAACAATTCAATTTACCACAATACCTCAAGCAAAAATATGTCAGTGTGCACCCCAATCCTGTATGTATGGTAAAGAGAATTTCTGGCTCTAGATTGGCCAGTCGCTGTTGAGTTCTAGAACCCCACATATAGGATGGCTTTCTAAATCCCGACGGATGATGGCAATCCTCACCCACTGGCGGGGAGCCTCAGGACAAAGGGGCTGCTGGTTTTTCTCAGCTCTCCTCCCTGAAAGCACCAAAACCATCTTCCAAGGAGTAATATTTCGAGAGAAGCAGAGAACGAGAATGGTGGAGCGCAGGATTTTTAGGGCAGTGAAGTCATCCGACATGGTGCTACAGTTGTAGATATCATGGCACCATGATTTTGTGAAGACCCATAGAACTTTACAGCACAAATAGTGAACATTAATGTATGAGAATTTTTTTAAAAAATCCTCTAAGTGATCAGGGATCCCACTTGGATGTGGAGGTTGGTGGTCAGCTGAAGATGCATGCACAGACATGTCCCCAACGGCTAACAACTGGAGTCCTGTACAAAGCTTTGCCCCCAGTTTGAAAGACGGTTAGTGCAAAACCAAGTCATGTTTATGGGTGATCCACAACTTGACTCAACAGAAATCTAGTAAACATTCTAGAATACAGCAAATAGAATACAAGGGCCCATGATCTCAGGAATATGAAGGCCCCCAGGCCTCAACTGAAGTCTCCTTGACCTTTTTGTGCATAACAGTCCCTCTGTCCCTTGTTCCTGACCAACTCACTAGACTTCAGCCACTCTGCCTTCTGCAGGTTTCTAGGACATTTCAAGGTCTTTCCTTTTCAATGCACTTCCTTGTTGCTCCCCAAGCCTGGAAAGCTATTGCCCCATCTCTACCTAGCTAACTTTTCCTCCCCACTTGAAGCCTCAGCTTATAGGATCTGTTCTTAGTAGGAGCCTCCCAAGAGGCTTCTACTTGAAGATAAGCTCTGGGTATTTTCCCATCACCTAAAACAATTCCTGGCACACAGTAGGTATTAAATAAATATTCATGTCATGTTTGTTTAGGATTCTTATAGAATGATTTAGCATGGGTGCTGTGAAGACAGTTGAGAAGTCCTACACCACGCATATTAAACTAAGAGAATCCATGCAAAGTTCTTGGGTGACTACTGCTACAGTCCTAACACTCTAATAAAGACATAAAAGCAGCTTTATGCTCAGGTGATGGAAATTTAATCTTTCAATTCATATTTTGACAGTATTTGGAGGAGAGGCCTTCAGGAGGTAATCAGGTTTAAAGGAAGTTATGAGGGTGGAGGTCCCATGATGACTTTAATGCCTATATAAGAGGAGGTGTAAGGACCCAAGCTAGTGTATTCCTTTGATTTCTCCATGTGATACCCTCTGCCATGTTATGACACAGTAAGAAGGCCCTCATCTTAAGCACCTTGGACTTCCCAGCCTCCAGGTTGTGAGAAATAAATCTCTCTCCTTTATGCATTCCCCATCTTGGATATGTTGGCGTAGCAGCAGAACACAGCTTAGGACACAGGTACTGGGCATATCTGAAGCTGTGAATTCTCCAGAGATTTGGAGTGGGTGAAGGCTTTACTTTCCTTCAACCCTGGTGCTACGCTGCAGCCATCAGTTCCAAGCCATGCAAGAGAGGTGTCTGCTGGATCCCAGGCAGTGATCTCAGATTTGCAAATCCTGGCAGGCCCCACATGGGTAGATGTGGGATGACCCCTTCTACAGGGTCACAGCTACCCACTTGCTGCTGGAGGATCTGTCCAAGGCTGGTGACCCTGGAAAACCTGGTGGAAGATGAAATCATGAGATAAACTTTTCCCACTCTGTGCAGCTGAGAGAGCTGTTCATCCCCTACTTGGAGGAAGCAGAATGGAACTCTTACCTGCATGTCAGCAAGTAACGGAACTCTTCTCTCTAAGGCCGGCTCCTTTGCAGCTCATTCACTAAGCCAAAGCCAGCCATTCTTCCCCTGAGGCTCATTTTCTCTGACCAAAGAGACCACAATAGACTGACCTTCCATGAGAGCAATGACAAGCCACGCTACCATTTCTGGGTATCCATAAGGTGATGGAGAAGACAAGCGCCACCGTCAGAAACATGGCTGCAATTAGGGCAGAGTCGATGGAGAAGGCAAAGAATAAAGTCATTTCAACAAACCATAATAACTCAAAGGGGATTCAAGTACAGAGAAAAAGAAGACTTTCTGAAATTCAAGCTCCATAAAACACGATGCCCTGATTTATGAACGGCCGCTGCTGAGAATCAAACTGATGCTTTGAGTCAACAAAAGGAAGAAATTTCATACAAAAAAAAAAAAAAAACCTTAAAAAATAGAAATCTGTAAACAAAAAGAAAATCTGAGAGCTCTGATGTGATTGTTGGTTCAGGAAAGAAACATGGAAAGAGACAGAGGGAAGAAAAGTAGTAATAAAAACAAGTGAGATAAAAGAAATTTCCCAAAGCTAGAGAAAGATCTCAGATAAAGATGAACGTCAAAAAACGATGGACATATTATCCAAAGTACATGTACGAAGACATGAATTGGCGTGAACATACTTTATATACAACCAGAGATATGAAAATTGTCCTCTATATGTGTAACAAGAATTGTAATGCATTCTGCTGTCATGTATTTAAAAACTAAAATCAATTTTTAAAAAAACACTGAAATGCTACTATGGAAAGAGAAAATCATAAACTTTTGGGGGAAAAAAACAGGTCACTTACAGCAGTAATAGAATAAAACTTACAAATCATATTTTCAACCAGAAGAAAATTAACACAGTGACTGGGAACTCTGAGAAAATAAGAAAAAGTCCTACTCATTCTATAACTATCCAAAAAGAATATGTTTGACAAGTAAGGTTTAAGAGTATTGCCCATCTTGTAACCCACCAGAGGAGGTACATAGAAAATATTCTAACCAAGGAGAGTAAATCAAAATATGGAGCTCCTAAAAACTGGGGAAGGAGAAAACCATGACAGTAACGAATAGCTAGACAACATGGGTAATGTGGCTAAAATCTGTCATAGGTTTTAAGCAGAAAAATAATCTTTAATAAAACAAAATTCCACACTCTCTCAGCGTGCAAAACTATGTATGCCTGTGCACGAGTGTTTGTGTGTGTTTGTGCGCATGCGCACGTGTGCGTGTGTGAGCATTTACATGCAGACGATGGAGTGGGAAGGACAAAATTAAATGGGAAAACAAAAGTTCTCTTCTCGGTAAGCAAGGGTGGGAGGAACGGGGAAGTAAAAGGCACTGGTAACATAGGGATTATGTGATTTTTATATATTGGTGGAAGAATCCAAATTTAGTAATGACTATATGTGTTAAAGATTATAAGTATAAAGAAAAATAATATATTTTAAAAATTCACACTAGAGGGGGAAAAATGAAATTAGGAAAAATAAAACAGGAGAACAAAGAATAAAGAACAAAAAATAGTATGAAAAACATAAAACCCAGTACGTAAAACATCACAATCACTGTGTACTAACTTTGTCAAAAGAATGATTTTCATATTAATTATGATTCAAAACTCAGGCCTAAAGTATTGCTATAAATACACTGAAGCAAAGTTACAAAGAAATACTGGAAAGTAAAGGGGGTTCAAGGAGGTACTAAGCAAATGCAAAGGTTAAAAAAAAAAAACCAGTATGAATGGCAACATTTTAATACCAGGTAAAATGCAATTCAAACCCAAAAGCATTAACCAGGTTAAAGAAGACAGGGGAAAACTTAATCAGCAAAGAAGCTCTGTGTAAGACATAAACCTCAATAGAATAAACAATATAGCTGTCATACATATAAAATAAAAATCCCAGAAATACAAGGAGAAATTGACAAAATTATTTATTGTGGAAAGTTTCTAATATTAATATTTTTCTTTCAAAATTTGACAGTTCAAGTATACAATTAAGGCAAAGATATACAATATTTGAAAGGTACAACAAATTAAGATTTTCCCTTATATTCATATAACACAAAAATTAATCATATATTGGATGAATGGCATTGAAGAAAACTTTGATAAACTTCCCAAAGCAGATGCATTTATTTTACTTCATTCAAAAAATAAATCAACAATCAGAATATTTTTAAAAATCTTCTAGTTATTGGGAAGTTAATAAATCTGTTCCACACAAATCGTGGTTCAAAGAGGAAATCAAAATTGAAAACAAAAAATTAAGATCCAAAGGGAAAAGACAAGCCATTATATCAAAATCTATCAGATACAGCTAAAGCTATGTTGCAGAGGGAAATTTGAAGCCTTAAATGACTTTATTATTAAAAAACAAAACAAATCCACAGGCTCAAAACCATCATAATGCATTTGGAGTAATACGTATCCATTTTTTCTTGATTTTTCTAGGTAGGCCCCATTGCTTCCACTGATTTTCTGGTTTTCTTCACTGAGCAATTTCCCTCTTTCATTTCTTTCTTGATGCCACAGTGAGAATGGATAAAGTGATCAAGAATTTCTCTGTCTGAAAAATCACGAAGAAGAAAATCCGGATGAAAATTTCATGCAAGTATTTAAATGCTTTTTCTAAGTATTTAAATGCTAAATAGAAAAATTCTAGGAAGGAGGCGAATATCTGATAATCGTACTAGATTTACAAATTTGATGGCAAATCAAAAGAATCAAAGGATAATTATGTCTAATACCTAAAGAAGTACAGATGCATAATTGTTAAGAAGAGTAAATTTAATATTCAAGGTATTAGAAAGATTTTAGAATGGAACAGAAGTAAGTCTCAGTGCTGTGCTGGCCAGTGTTAACAAGCCACTAACCTCTCCCCTTCTCCATTCCCCCTCATCTTGGAATACAGCCCACAGTACTTACCTTACCCTCCCTTAGGGATGGATTAAGGATGTGTGTGAGGCACCTAGATGATGCCTCGCCCATCAAAGACATCTAACAGCCCTACCCTTTATCCTGGCTGTCCGGTAATGAACATTGGTGATAAACAATTGAGACTTACACCTAAAGTTTCACAGAAGCTAGCCTGTTTTTCTATCCACCAAAGCCGGTGTGTTTTGTTATTCTTGAGAGATGACTGTTGAACCCTGGGAATGTCCTTCAAGCTCCCTGGCTCCCACTTCCTCATCTATGAAATGGAGGAGTCTTGTATGGTTCTGAACATCTGTGATTCCCTAATTTTAATTTCATGTCTTGTCAGCAATACAGAGTGGAGCTGTAAAATTTGGTTCACTTCTAGAAATTGTCATGTGTGCAGCCAAAGCCAAAAAGAAGAAGAGTGCAAGTGATAACGTGTTAAGCTCAATGTTTACATCATCCTGCTCAATGTCACAAAAGCCAGCGGGAGTCCCTAGATCCCTAGATGTGTGTGTGTGTGTGTGTGTGCGCGCACGTGCGCACGTGCATGCACACATATGCATGTGTTTTCTCTCCAACTATATTTGCATTTATTTGTCTTTGCAGTCTCATGTTTAATTTTGAACAGCTTCTACCCTTACCCATACTTTTTTGATGCCTGTATTTTTCCATTGAGGTTCCCTTTCTATAAAAAGTAATGCACTGATCTTCCATGTACAGTTGGATCAACTGATATTTACACACTTATATGCCACACCCACATGAAAATTTCAACTATCCCACCATCCCAGAAGATCCTCCCTGTTTCTTCCCACTCAAGACTGCTGCTGTTATGATTTATTTTAATCAAAGACAAGATTTGCCTGTTGTAGACCTTCCCATCAGTGAAATCATATAGGTGGTGTTTTGTGTCTGGCTTTTTTCATTCGGCATGTTTTTATGGCTCATGTATTTTGTTGTATACATCAGTAATTTGTTCCTTTTTATTCTCACTATGTTAATATGTCATAATTGATCTATCCATTTTCCTGCTGATGGGGATTTGAGTCGTATCCAGTTTGGGGGTACTGAGAATAAAGGGGTTATAAACATTTTCATATGAGTCTTTTTGAGGACCTGTGCTTTCTTTTCTCTAAGGTAAATATCCAGAAGAGGAATTTTTGAGTCATGAAAGAGTCATATGTTCAACACTGCCTGATCTGTTTCCAAAGTGATTATACTGTTTGATATTCCCCCAAAGTCTGGGAGTTCTGATTGCTCCATGATTGCTCCATGTCATCCACAACTGCTATCATCAATTCTTTTCAGTTTAAGCACTGTCTCTAGTTTTAAACTTTATAGTAAAGATTTTATTTTAAAATAAGCAAAAGAAAAAATTCCCTCTTTCCAATACCAAAGATATGCATACAAGATGAATCAAGTATGGCATGCATTAGTGAAAAGGATGAGATTGTGTAAAATATAATGTCAACTTAAGTTGACAACTACCCCCAAAGACTGCCAATTGTAACTCAAGGGCTACCCATGTTTATTATGTACAGATGCGGGTTCGTGTCTCCATGGTTTTATCAATGCTATTCCCTTTGCTAGAAAGGGCCTTGCCTCTTCTCATTGTGCATCTAGATTCATCTCTTCTGAGTGGCTTTTCCTCATTTCCTGAACCCCTGTGCACTGTCAGGGTTAAGAGTACCCCTCATGGGCTTCCCATATAACCAAAGATCCCTTGCTTATAGCCTACAGCCTACAACATTAAAACTACACGTCTGTCTCTCACACCGGGCAACAAGCTTCCCAATAAAAGGGTTTATTTTTCACTCATCATTTATCTTTGTATCAAATGAACATTATAGGTCTTCAATTAATAAAGTTTGTTGAGTGATTAAATAAATGTATTTTGGATAGCACTGGAGATTAAAGTCCCACATGTGCTCTACCACTGAGCTACATCCTCAGCCCAATAAGTGCATTCTTAATTACTGGAAGTCATCCATGACCCATGCATAAACTGAGTGATGTTGAAACCATTAGGCAGGGAAGCCTGGTTTTGGGAACTCCCAGTCAGAATCCACTGGCTTGAGAACGCCCGACCCATGTGGTACCCTGTTCTAGCTCACCATTTAAGTTCTAGCTTAGCTATGGAGATGATACTGACCCATTAGAGCCACACAGACCCCCAGAGATGGAGAGATGGGTATGGCTTGCCAAAATGCCATTCAACCTGTTTACTGAAGGACCCCCACCATACCAAGAAGCAAGCACGGAACCAAGACTCCTCCCGCTGAAACTTTATCCCTGCCTTTGATGTACTCCCCACTTAACTAAAGAATTGGGGCCTTCTTCAGTTATTCAGTCCTAGCTCCCATCAGGACTGGAAGACCCATCAGATGCTCCCCTTTTTATATCTAATTTCTGGCTTTGTTTTTATTTCTTACTGATTATTTCAGACCTTTTATTTTCCCAGGCAGCTCATACCTCCTGAGTAAGAACCTACCCTGCTGGGGTTGCTGGTCACCTCGTTATAATTAATACTACAACGAAATACCTTCTTGACAGCCCTATTCACAGGAGTTTGGTTGGAAAAAAAAGATGGGGAAGGAGTAGTAGCTTAAAAATTTCATAGAAAACCAGACTTCAGAAAATTTATCTTTAAAAGAAAAAAATTTTGGCGGTGCTGGGGATTGAACCCAGGGCCTTGTGCATGTGAGGCAAGCACCAAGTACTCTACCAACTGAGCTATATCTCCAGCCCCAGATATTTTTATCTTTTAAGTGGAAAAAAATGGGTAAATTACAGAATCTTTACCAATGGATAACAGACACCCAAAGAGAGTAATAAGCTTTTGGGTGGTCTGAATCAGACCTAGGGATTAAAACAATTTGGAAAACAGACTGGTCACTAAACAGATCTAATCCCATCTCTTCAAGTCACAAATGAACTGTGGAGGATCCCTTATCAAAAATGCTTAAGACCAGATGTGTTTCATAATTCTGATTTTTTAAAAATTTTAGAATGTATTTGTATAAATACAATGAAATATCTTGGGGATGGGACCTGAGTCTAAACATGAAATTCACTTGTGCTTCCTATACACCTTATCCACATGGCCCACAGGTAATTTTATACAATATTTTTGGTGCACCTGGGTTTTAAGTGCAATCCATCTCATGAAGCCAGGTGTGGAGTTTTCCACCTGTGCATCACCTCCGTGCTCACAAAGCTTTGGATTTCAGATGTTTGGATGAAGGATGCTCAACTTGTACCAAATGTGGCAACAGAGTTAATGGGGAATAGAAGGTTCCCCTTAGCTACTTTCTCCTCCTGTCTCCTTCCCCAGTATCTTTCATCTTCCTGGAGTCTTCCCTATCTGTCCTCACCTTTCCTTCTCTCCAGACCATTCTCCACCCTGTCTCAGGCCTTTACTGAAGGTGAAGGTTGGTCTTTCCACCCTTTGTCTCTCTCTCAAAATATTCCTGTTCTGGGCTCCTATTCCATCAGGCCTACGACCCATGAAGGGTAATCCAGTAAAATGATTCAAACTGAGCTGATAATAACTGAGCCTGCCACATCTGCCAGGTGTTTTATTCTCTGCTTACTCACTCAGTACCATCAAAAAAAGAAGAAGGAAAAAAAAAGCACCTCTGAGATCTTCACCAGCTGAAAAGCATCCGTGTCACCCCTGACATTAGAAAATGACAAGAGGTTTGGGGCATGATGAAAAGGAAGCCTCCTACTTGCTAGTCAGTGTCTAGCCCAGCCAGCACGGATGAGTGAGCCATTCTAAAGTGAAGAGAGATGCGAAACCCACAGGAAGCAGCTCCTCCGTCCACCCACGTCAGCACAAAAATAGCTGAATGCTGGGCCATGAGCTTTCAGGTACCTGTCCCCAGTGCTGCCCCCAGGCAACCCAGGCACCTTGAAGGATGAAGATGCAGGCTGAGCAGAGGTTCCACCCTTAGGGGACATCACCAAGGCTCAGGCTGCATACGACACAGAGAGGAAACCAAGGTGCCCAGCAGCCACTATGGCAGAAGTGGTGGCTGCAACTCTCTGGCCAGTCCCTGGGCAGAAGGAAGCATCTGCTTAGGGAAAGACAGAAACAGTCCTGCTGTAGGCTCCCACAGATGTGCCTCCTGGAAGTGGAATGAGCTCTTTGTAAAGTACAGAGGATGGTTTTACATGTCTGCCACAAAGCTGAGCAAAGAGTGAGAAAGCAGCTCGGGGCGTCAGGATCCCACCTGAAAATATCCACTTCTGCCTCAGTATGAGGCAAAACATCTGCTTTTCGGGTTTCCCTGAAACCTACCATTCAAGCACTTTTAAGAGTAGGAAAATACCTGCTTTTTCTCCCCAACCTAGACACACGCGTGTGCGCACACACACAGGCATGCACACATGCACATACCCCTCCCTTTCAATCTTGTTTGGAGCAGGAAAATCCAGAAACAAAGGGTTTCAGTGCAAACTTCAGAAGAATCATGTGTCTGTCTGGGGACAACTGGGAACCAAAGCAGCTGGAGGGCTGCAGAGGAGCTGGGGGAAGTCCCGACCTTAGGCCTGGTCACGGAGCATGAAAGAGCTGATGACGCCACATGCCCTTGGGCACAAATATGGGTGCAGGAGATGACCCTTTGGGTGCCGGGGAAAATAGCAGAACCTCTATTTATATTTGTTTTTAACTTCCTCAACTCTAACTTTTCTAATGGGCCTGATACACTAGTTCATGTAAAAAAAAAAAAATAAATATATATATATATCCATCCGTCTTGGGGCATGTATTTAAACGGGGTCTGTGACCCCTCACAGAGGGAGCTATGGGAAGAGCTCTGCTTCCTCACACTCCTTCAGTCCCCAAGTTCATATTTTATACACACTCAGTCGGACAACCAGTTACCCCTGCGATGTTCCCAAATCCATCCCCACCCCACCCCCGCTCAGCCTGGGTATGGGTGAGTGTTATGAAGAGGAGGAACGACACCATCCTGAAAATGGAATGGCTCTCTTTTGCAGGTGTGAATAATGGAGGTTCTCAGGTACTGTCAACAGCTGTCACAAAAATGTGCCACCAAATTGGAAATAGTGGGGGGAAAATAAACAAAACATGAGATAATACAGTCATCCACTAGAGAAATCAAATAGCTGGAAGAAAAAAGAGAAGCCATTCTGGAATAATTCAACTGCAGGCAAAATGGGTTGGGAATTAGTGAAAAGCTCTACCTTTTTAATAAGTGGGAATGAAGTCACTGGGGCCTCTTCTTAGGGAAAAAGTTTTCAATAGGTTGAGGTTTACTCTACACTTGGGGATTTTTTTAAAGCAATTTTTTATGGCTAGAAATGGGGACAATTGCTATTTTAGTATAAAGCAATGTGCTACGATCTGTAAATGAAATGGGAAACTTTAGACTCCATCTTACCTTTGTCAGAAACAGTCTTAAGGTAATTACTGATTTGCCAGGGCGTGATGGAGTTCAAGATCATTAAGAAGTCCAGGTGGTCCTTCCCGTAGTCGCTTTGGTAAGTGGTCTGCTTCTTTGTACGTTCTTGGGTCCTCATGTAGCTGTGTAGCACCGAAGGGACTACAGAAACACAAGGGAAGGACAGACGCAGCGGCTGTCACCCAAGCAGAGAACTCTTGTCCCCCTTGTTAGAACCTGCCTCTGGCAACCCTGACTGCCACTGGAGGTCACTCTGCATCACTTTGCATACTTCACGACGCTGGAAACTAAGGCGCTGTGTGAGTCTGATTCCTCCAGTAACTAGGAGCTGCACAAAGCTGCTGAGACTTCCAGACTGTTGCCATTAGAAGAGGGAGGGATGGGGAGACACAGTGGCCAGAAGGTCGAGTCTGGCCATTGTTTTCAGAAAAGAAGTTGTTCTGACGTGAGCTCATATGCAGGTCAGTGTGTTGGGATGGCAGTGGGCACCACCAGGTTAATAAACAACCACCTTCCTAGAAACACCTTTGTCTTTCAGGACATGTCCTGTGCAAACCTGGGTTGGTGCACTAAGAGACCTCCTTCTGGTAGCCTGGGAATCAGTCTTGGGATGAGCAGTTTGGAAGAACATTGATATTTACAGCCAGCCCTCACTGTCCTGTCCGTTCAGACCAGGAGAGGTAAGAGGTGAGGGCAACCCCAAGGCACTTACATTTGATAATGAATATTGTTATTCTAATGTGGATTCTGATACCTTATGGAGCTAACATGTTTTTAAAATGAAGATGTGATACAAAAATCCAATTCCTACAACTTTCTCAAGTTTTTGGTAAACCTTGGAAACACTTTCCATACTGTTTCCAGTCTATTAAAGGGGCCATTGGCCAAATGGAAGGACCAAACTATTGAGGGGTTTTGATGCTCCTTCCTGAGATGAGTGTCTATAGGGTCTGAACATGTTTTAACTGGAAAAGAAGAAGACCAAGAAGTTTTACGATGACCTTTTTACAGAATAATAGATGTCTGCTACTAGTTAACCTCCATGAAAAGAAGCAGAATCAATGACTAGAAGTTTAGCAGGAATATTCCAGCCATGGGAACAGTGCAAGGCTTGGAACATGGAGCACTACCCTGAATGGGGGAGGGGCGAGTTAACCCTCAGCGAGGATGGGGTGCAGGCAATTCACGTGTGCCCTGAGGCTCTAGATGAGGTAACTTCTGGACTACCCTTTAGCCCCAGGATGCTAGGCTTCCATTCTGCAATTCTTCTGTCTCAGGGACTATCTGGTCCCAATTCTTTTTCAGAAGACACCAAGTTTTCTTCTTAACCAATACCTTGGAGGGGACTTGGTCATGGAACTTTTAAACACTTTCGGGATTGCCCAAGAACACTCAAGCAGATGAGTGCCAAATCTGAAGACGCTGGAGGGAGGGAGGGTGCCCTCTGAACCCAGCAAGGTTCGGACTGCCCGCCAGGATCATGGCCATTCCCTGTGACCATTATCAAATTTGGCTGCCGGGGCTGCTGCATCAAGGAATCTTGGAGCAAAGGGATAGTGAAACTGGGCTACAAAAAACGGCAACTGCCCATTTCTAAAAATTGTTGTGCATGCTGTTTCTCAGACCTCGAGAGCCAAGAGGAACCCAAAGTCTGCTACCAGTGAAACCTGAAGAAAGGGAACCCAGCCTCATCTACGGCAATTAGAACCCAGGGGCTCCGATGGCAGTTGCAGGATGGACCAGAATAAAGGAGAGACAGGAAGCGGCCCAATCACAAAGCATCCACAAGTTACACTGGGCCTGGTGTGCAGGGTGCAGACTGCTCCACAAAGACTCCGCGTTACACCCAGGCAGCCCTCTTACTCCTCACCCCGGGTCCCTTCAATTCCTTTGCTAAGGGCCATTAGGGAGACAGATCTAAGTAGGCCTCCTCCCACCCCCTTGTTGACTGATCTACAATAAATTTCTCTCTTTGTGCAAAGACCTGTGCCATGGTATCGGCTTCCGTGTGTGCCAGGGAGCAAGCCTTGCGTGGTATCTACAGGATCTATGGAGTTATTTTTAAAACTAAAGGTGTACTTACCTAGACCTTTAGAAGCAGCTGACAGGTTTGAGTAGCATCCATATCGGAAGCTAAAATCCTGCGACTCAGGAATTTTAGCTGGAATTTGGTAATTCTGTCGAAATTCAGTGTCTGGGGGCCGGGGAAGGTACTTTTTCCAGTCTACACACACCGGAGAACTGTTCTTAATCTCCTGAGCTGGGGTAGAATGGAAAAGGGAAGAAAAAAAAAACACTCCTTGTAACCTATTTCTGAGTAGCATTTCTTTCCATTTTGCTTCTGGCAATAGCTTCCAATTTGCCAGACAGACCCCTCCCCCCCACACACACACGCCTCTTGTATTTAGAAGAATGGTCAGTGTGCTTTTTATGAAAACTTAAATTATTTTCTGCTTTCTCAGAAGGTAGGGTATGCTCCCTAGTGAATATATCTGTCTGCCCCTTAGAGTACCCCTTGTTCTGCTCTGTGAGCACAGAAGGCGTTGATTATCCCCCTGCCAGTGTCTGGAGCAGGGGCGAGGGGCAGAGAGGGAGAAGGGACAAAAATTTTGGATATGACTCATGTTGCCATTTGAAACACAGGATGCCCAGTTTAATTTGAATTTCAGACAAACAATGAATACTTTTTTCATATAAGTATGTAAAAATATATTATCTACTATATAATTATGTAAAAAAAATTATCTACTATATATCATTATTCATATTTAACTGGGCAGCTTAAATATTTTTTATTTTTTTAAATATTTATTTCTTTAGTTTTTAGGTGGACACAGTATCTTTATTTCACATTTATGTGGTGCTGAGAATCGAACCCAGTGCCTCACGAACGCTAGACGAGCGCGCTACCACTTGAGCCACATCCCCAGCCCGGCAGCTTATATTTTTATTTGCTTAACCTAACAACCCCAGATGGGGTGGTATGTGTCATCCTCATCACCTGGAAAAGAACCATTGAAAGCTTATCTGGTATAGGGCTAGGGGACATCATTGTTATTAGTGATAATAACATTATTTGTTTGAAATAATAATCTAACTAAAAACATTCATTAAATATACCATCATTAAATGAAGCACTGATTAAACATGAGTTTCACAAACATGACAGAGGAGCCACAAGCCAACTCATTTAGTTATGTTCACCCTTCAGTTTTGCTGGCAAAGCCTTAGTTCGGGGGCATATTATAAAACACCATCTTTATTCAGAAAGATAAAGATTTAAAAAGATGGGTTTCATGAGCAATGTCTAAACAGTGGAAATGCTCGTTGACACTAAACTCAATTCTCTTGAAAATTAATTTTCAATAGGTCTTTTCCAAATAAAATTCTAATAAACACTGTATGTCAAAGGGTTCATACAATGGCATCTACTGGTCTACACTGTGTATCAAAGGATACATTATTGCATCTTCCAGCACATGACAACATTTAAAATACTGATTTTTTAAAAATAAGCTCTCTGTCTAGACCAGCAAAGGTGAAGTTCATTGCACCAAGCTGCCTCTAACTTTGGATGACCCAGGAGAAAAAAGATGCAGGTGCTCAATAGCCTCAAAATGACCTCAGAAACTGCCCATGGAGATACTTTGGAAAACCATCTGGTATTGTTCCCAGTAACTTGCATCTCTAACTTGTTTTTTGCCATTTACTAATAGCTTTATAGGAGAAAAACAAATTTATGTTGAAATACATCATGCCTGTGTCTCTCTCCCTGTCCCCCAGGGCAACCATTCAATAGCAAATGTTTTCATTCCCCAGATGTGTTCTGTGCTGCTTGCCAAGGTGATTAATAATGAAGTCATTGTTCTACCTTCAGACAACCCCAAACCAGTGTGATTAAAGAGATATCTCCAGGACCAATAGATATGGGACGCGATAAGTCTTGCAACCACAACAGGAGGAACTGTGGAGATGTCGGAATCTCCAGGGAAGGGTTTCTAGAACAGATCCCTGCAGATCCTCATCTCAGACCTGAGCAGCTCCCGAAGTGGGAGTGCCAGGCTCTTCACTGTGAACAGACTCCCCATGTTTTTAGGAATCACTGAGTCAGAGCTCTCTCTGCACAGGGTGCCACGGAAGCCCAGAGAAGAGTGAAAGAGGAGGAAGACGAATGGCAGATAGACCCTGGGAGGGGCCCTGACAAAGGGTCAACATGGGGGCAAAACATACAGTGGGCCCCTGGTGTGTGGCTGGCAGAGTGCACGGTGCCCTGGGCAGGAGGGGGAGTTGAGGGTGACATGGAGAAGTGACTTGGGAGCTGGCTGGGGAGAGTCTTGGAGGTCTTTTTACATGGACCAGGATGGACCAGCACAGAAGTGGGATCAGTGGAGATGAGGACCTAGAAAAGGCACAACTCAGGACCTACACATACTTTAAGTTCCTTTGAAGGCAGAGATTAAGTTTTATTCTTCATTTATTCTCTGTACTTATCACATTAATAGACCTCATTAAATATTTACTAAATTTATGAGTGAATGACAAAAACCAACCGGAAACATAATTGTTATGGATTAGCACTTAATGTCTTTTGAACCACACTCTGGCAACTGCCTCTGTGATATATGTGTAAGGTAACTCCCAGTCGACTGTATAATCTTCCTCCGTAGCCTGGGCTTAGTATTTCTCAGCTAATACTTTTGTTGTCTTTATAAAAATTTCTTGTTAATGAGCTCCTTCAGGCATTACTAAGAAGGGAGGTTCTTCATACATAGGGGCCAAATGAATGACTGAAGCCCCCCATCCTGGTGCTGAAGTAGAGACAGATGAGGTAACCATGATCCAGAGCTAAGCTGGCTGAAGGCCTCTCCCAAGGGGTCATCTGTGCTCCTCAGAGGCTCAGTTCCCTTTGGTTTCTTTCCACTTGAAAACCAGTAAATTTTCCCTAAAAAAGGAAACCGGCCCATTTAGATCAGGTAGACCTCCGCAGAAAGGCTCAAGCCAAAAGTAATGTAGAGCAAGGAACATTCAAAACAATTAGGACCATTGGCAGCAATACTCTAAAGCCAAGTGGGATATGGTTCTAGTGTCTTTACCAACTGTTCTAACTCATCAAAGCCAAGTTCTCCAAGTGTGAATGTGAAAACAAGCATCTTGCTGGGTATGGTGGCATGTGCCTATAATCCTGGTAACTTGGGAGGTTGAGGCAGGAGGATTACAAATTTGAGACCAGCCTGAGCAACTCAGTGAGACTCTGCTTCAAAAATTTTTAAAAATGAAAACAACAGGGGGTATAGCTCAACAGTGAAGCATCCTTGGGTTCAATCCCCAGGTACCACCAAACAACATACAAAAAAGCACCTTTTGGTACTTCTCATTCATTTGCCTTAATTCAATATTCAATAATGAGGATACCAAGCTAAGACACAGTCCCCGTGCTTCAGAAGCTTAAAGTCTTAGAGAAAATAATCACACAGAACATAACTGCAATACTATGTGATAAATGCAATACTATGTGATAAATCCTCCAAAAGAGGTTAGAATGGGGCTACGAAAACAGGTGGGACAGCCACTGAGACAAAACTGGAGACCAGAGAAGGCTTCCAGGACAGAAATGACACCTGCGTGTAGACTCCAGTGGTGAGAAGACATGCTGACAGGAGGAAGGGGGACACTCTGCACAGGAAGCAACAACGCACGCAGGCAGGAGGAGGCTGCGGAGGGTGTGGGCGGCAGTGCAGTCTCAAGAGGGTTGTGGGGACAGGCCGGGGGAGGCTGGGGGGAGGCTGGACAGGGGCAAGGGTATCCATTATTCAGATTAAGGCATTTAGCTGCTGTCTGGAGGACTATGGGGGAGTTTCTAAAGGGACAAAGAGCCTAGGTGACATTGGTTTTCACCTCCAGAAGTTCACTGTGACTGTAGTATGCACAGTGGGTTGGGGGAAGGAACTAGAAAAGGGAATTGGATCAGAGGTCATCCAAGGTAGACACCGGTAACACTAAGGCAGGACTGTGGGCAGCAAGAGAAACAGTTGGATTTGAGAAATTTAGGAGGGAGTCTTGACAGGTCCTGAATATTTGCTAGCACTTGGGGGAAATGGTGATTCGCTGAATGGACAACTTTGATGAAAACCTAAAGACATCTTGAAGAATTCTGGAATTTCCAATGTTTTTCCTGGATCCTTTTAGTTTATCTGCAGGTTCACTGGTCTTTTGACCCCATGCCCATCTATAATCTCAAGAAGGGCATTTCCCGTATATTCTCTCTGACATTCAACAAATACATCCTGGGCTTCTTGCATCCACCAGGCCCTGCACTAAGCCCCGAGTGGGCAACTTACTGCATCAGAGACGAAGGAGTAAAACAAGAACAACACAAGACAAGAATCAGGGACAAATGACTTCAAAGTGCAACAGGCTAGATGAAATGAGACGAAGGTCCCTTCAGATAAAGAAGTAAAAGGTGGCCTCATGGGGGAGGAGGCGCTGAAACTGGGATGGAAAAGCAAAGCCTCAGGAGGAGCTGGGAAGACGCACTGGCCAAAGGGGAAGGAAGTTGGCATCTTTCAGGACTTAAAAAAGGTGGATTCCCCAGGAATGAGGGGGATGAAACATAGGTAAGGAAGTAAGCAAGGCCTAACAGGAACCCAAAGAAGGAACTGAAACTGGGATTTTATTCAAACTGTGATAGAAAGTCAGTGAAAAGAAGGCATAGAATAACGGGATCCAGTCTAGATGTTTAAAGATCATCCATCTGCCTCGTGGTGGAGGGACTGGAGGGTCCAACAGGTAACGTAAGATCAGTTGAGGGAAAGGAGGCCATGTGTTGGGACCCTCCTAGACTTCTCCAAATATATGGAACTGAGAGGTCTGGGGGAGAGACCCGAGTGTGGGAGTCCAGGATAGCTGCTATTTAAGGAATCAGGACCTCTAGCAGATACCAAATGGACAAATGACCAGAAAGTAAGAGACGGGAAATAGGAAACCACAGGGAGAAGGTGACAACACAGAAGTTCAAAGAGAAGGGTGTCCCAAGGTGTTCCAAGAGTGAGCGAGTGGCCAGCAATACTGACTGCTGCTCACGGGCTGGGAAAGACACAAATGGGAAGATCCTAATGAAAGGCCATCGAGCACCTTGACAAGAGGAGTTTCAATAACTGGATGGAGACAAAACCCAACCTGGAGGGGGTTGAAAATTCAAAGGGTTAGCAGTATCTCACATTGAACCCAGTGGATTGTCTCCACTGTATTCCTGCATTTAGG